CCTTTCGACCGTCCGACTTGGTTTGCCGAACAAATTCTCGCACCAGGTTGCCAATGCAGTGTTGAATGCAATTGCTCACGCCGTTCGGGATTGCCGTTAGCGTGAGAATTTTTTGCACCGGCGTTCTGCTTTTCTCGGAATTCATCTCCTCCCACGTGGATTGCAACGCCGCCACCAAGCCAGCGTCGAGAATCTTCCAGTCGTTCATGGCCCCCCAAAATAGTTCTAATTCTACATGATTTGGGGGCTCGTCTTTCTCGCCGGCCGCCGCGAGCTTTTGCATCATTTGCACTCGCTTTGCTCCCGTGTTGGCTTTCGCAGCCTGGGCGCAGAGAGGTTTTCTTTTCTCCGGCTGCTCGAGACGCGCTTTTTTAGGTGGCCGGGGTGCCGTTTGCGGTGGTGTCATCGGTGCTGGTGGAATTGCTGGTGCTGTCGTGGTGGTGGTCTCCGCCGACTTCGGGAGCAATGCTCGTTTCGTTCCCTCTGCTACACCTGTGGTGCTTGAGCCGGCCGAATTTCGCTTACGGCCGAGGAACGCGTCGCTCGTGCGCGTTCTCTCCTGCCGTTTCGTCACGTTTCTCGCCCTAAAACGCCCGGAGAACCCTTGCCAAGGCCTTTCTTGCTCTTTGGAGGATCGTCGTCAGGTCGATGAGACGTTTCACCGGATCCCTCCGTCGTCGAAACTGTTGGAATTTTCGGGGCGTTTCTCGCCAACTCTTTGTCCATCTGCCTCTGACCGAACAGGCCTGAAAGACACAAAGTAGAACGGAAAATTTAGCAATTGACCGAGCGCGATATTTTTTCAACGCTCGTTTTCTCGCTCGCACCTTTTCCCCTTGCGAAAAGTGACACGTAAAATGTCTGGCACGCGTCGACAACCGCTTGCAGCGTGTCTCCGTCTTCCTCCGGGTCCAAGTTGTTGATCTGCCTCTTTATCGATTTGAAAATATTCTCCACGTAACCCTTGCACTTGTTCATCCTTTTTTGCTTCGCCTGTAAAGTATATTCGAACGCTCGTCGCTCGCTGCATTTATACTCGCGTAATGACGTAATGGCTCGGTCTATTTTTACCGGGGAATTTACCGTAATTACGTCATTTAACAGAGAAGATACGAAAATAGAAATGATGTTTTATTTGTGCCAAAATTATTTATGCACGCTCTCAACTTGTGCTAAAATAAATCAACTGTATCTCTAGAGACACGGGATTGCGATAATGTGATGTATAAATCGAGAACAACACGGCCGGTTTTTCATTCATTTTATTAGTCTAAATAATATAATATATATAACCAGGGGGGGTTCAGCAGATTCATGCGGAGGTTTTCGGGCTACGCAACAGTGCGACGATGTATTGCTTAGATTCCTGACAACATTTATATCAACATTTATGCAATTGATGTCGCTTGATCTCGATTCCTCTATAGATCTACTACGGCCGTTGTTGGACTGATGAGCTCAACGAGCGACAAAAACGAAAATGTCGAAATTTCAACGAACACAGTCGTCGAAGCAAAGACGTCGTCAATGAATATTGCATTGTGAATTGCTCCTTGTAACTGGAGTTATCCCATTTCCGAAAGTCATCTCCTGATTGGTCTTTCTACTTCCACAGCTGAGCTGCGGAAGTAGGAAGACCAATGGAATTGCTTCGCTACTGATCTATCACATTCTGAACACGCTGTTGATAATCGCTTCATTGTTGCTTCAACGCGATGCAACGAAAGAATTACTTAATCCACACCCTGTATCGCATCGTAAGCATGCTTGGTATTGGATAGTAAATTAGTAAATCCACGGATTCCATTTTACCTAGCGTCGAAAATATCTGAATGTATTTTTCCCATTGTTTATTTTGTACAATACATAATTTACATATGCACAACATTTAAATATGTTTCGGCGATCGGGGGGGGGGAATTGAATTCCGGAATTGAAACAAACAACAAGCATGCATGGGTATTAAATGCTTGGAAAATCCTCTCTAAATTTTACGAATTGATCATAAATGGCACGTTTTCTACCCTCGGAAATAATGAAATGATGATCGTGGGCAAATCTACACTACGGTACGTCAATTCATTCATGATTCGGACCTCTTTGTTATCACGAATTCTAGCTTTCAGATCTCAATGTTCACTGAGATATGATATCATCTCAGCCCAGCAATGTAACAGAGAATTTAACCTTTGCACCCAAGGCCCCCAGCCAGAGGTCACTCATTCGAGCAGAGCTCTGCCATAATTAACAAGCCCATTGAATCATTGCATGTGCTTAGTTGTTGCATAGAATATCCATCCTGCATGCGCACACAGAATGTTCACTGAGATATGATATCATCTCAGCCCAGCAATGTAACAGAAGAATTTAACCTTTGCACCCAGAGCCCCAAGCCCCCCAGCCAGAGGTCACTCATTCGAGCAGAGCTCTGCCATAATTAACAAGCCCATTGAATCATTGCATGTGCTTAGTTGTTGCATAGAATATCCATCCTGCATGCGCACACAGAATGTTCACTGAGATATGATATCATCTCAGCCCAGCAATGTAACAGAAGAATTTAACCTTTGCACCCAGAGCCCCAAGCCCCCCAGCCAGAGGTCACTCATTCGAGCAGAGCTCTGCCATAATTAACAAAGCCCATTGAATCATTGCATGTGCTTAGTTGTTGCATAGAGTATCCATCCTGCATGCGCACACAGAATGTTCACTGAGATATGATATCATCTCAGCCCAGCAATGTAACAGAAGAATTTAACCTTTGCACCCAGAGCCCCAAGCCCCCCAGCCAGAGGTCACTCATTCGAGCAGAGCTCTGCCATAATTAACAAAGCCCATTGAATCATTGCATGTGCTTAGTTGTTGCATAGAGTATCCATCCTGCATGCGCACACAGAATGTTCACTGAGATATGATATCATCTCAGCCCAGCAATGTAACAGAAGAATTTAACCTTTGCACCCAGAGCCCCAAGCCCCCCAGCCAGAGGTCACTCATTCGAGCAGAGCTCTGCCATAATTAACAAAGCCCATTGAATCATTGCATGTGCTTAGTTGTTGCATAGAGTATCCATCCTGCATGCGCACACAGAATGTTCACTGAGATATGATATCATCTCAGCCCAGCAATGTAACAGAAGAATTTAACCTTTGCACCCAGAGCCCCAAGCCCCCCAGCCAGAGGTCACTCATTCGAGCAGAGCTCTGCCATAATTAACAAAGCCCATTGAATCATTGCATGTGCTTAGTTGTTGCATAGAGTATCCATCCTGCATGCGCACACAGAATGTTCACTGAGATATGATATCATCTCAGCCCAGCAATGTAACAGAAGAATTTAACCTTTGCACCCAGAGCCCCAAGCCCCCCAGCCAGAGGTCACTCATTCGAGCAGAGCTCTGCCATAATTAACAAGCCCATTGAATCATTGCATGTGCTTAGTTGTTGCATAGAATATCCATCCTGCATGCGCACACAGAATGTTCACTGAGATATGATATCATCTCAGCCCAGCAATGTAACAGAAGAATTTAACCTTTGCACCCAGAGCCCCAAGCCCCCCAGCCAGAGGTCACTCATTCGAGCAGAGCTCTGCCATAATTAACAAAGCCCATTGAATCATTGCATGTGCTTAGTTGTTGCATAGAGTATCCATCCTGCATGCGCACACAGAATGTTCACTGAGATATGATATCATCTCAGCCCAGCAATGTAACAGAAGAATTTAACCTTTGCACCCAGAGCCCCAAGCCCCCCAGCCAGAGGTCACTCATTCGAGCAGAGCTCTGCCATAATTAACAAAGCCCATTGAATCATTGCATGTGCTTAGTTGTTGCATAGAGTATCCATCCTGCATGCGCACACAGAATGTTCACTGAGATATGATATCATCTCAGCCCAGCAATGTAACAGAAGAATTTAACCTTTGCACCCAGAGCCCCAAGCCCCCCAGCCAGAGGTCACTCATTCGAGCAGAGCTCTGCCATAATTAACAAGCCCATTGAATCATTGCATGTGCTTAGTTGTTGCATAGAGTATCCATCCTGCATGCGCACACAGAATGTTCACTGAGATATGATATCATCTCAGCCCAGCAATGTAACAGAAGAATTTAACCTTTGCACCCAGAGCCCCAAGCCCCCAGCCAGAGGTCACTCATTCGAGCAGAGCTCTGCCATAATTAACAAAGCCCATTGAATCATTGCATGTGCTTAGTTGTTGCATAGAGTATCCATCCTGCATGCGCACACAGAATGTTCACTGAGATATGATATCATCTCAGCCCAGCAATGTAACAGAAGAATTTAACCTTTGCACCCAGAGCCCCAAGCCCCCCAGCCAGAGGTCACTCATTCGAGCAGAGCTCTGCCATAATTAACAAGCCCATTGAATCATTGCATGTGCTTAGTTGTTGCATAGAGTATCCATCCTGCATGCGCACACAGAATGTTCACTGAGATATGATATCATCTCAGCCCAGCAATGTAACAGAAGAATTTAACCTTTGCACCCAGAGCCCCAAGCCCCCCAGCCAGAGGTCACTCATTCGAGCAGACAGGCCCATTGCATTGCATGCTGGCACATGTAAATCTGGCTATTATATTTGCAATCATAAACCGATCTAGAGACCTACTAGAAACCTTATGCATGAGGCTTTTTAATCTATGTATATTAATTATGTATTTTTGAGGTAAATCTGACAGATAATCAATTTTGAGTATTTTTTGTAATTGAATGTTGTTAAGCTCATATGGTTTAATACGTTTAATATTTGTCAATCACTTCTCGCTTTTGAATGGGGAACTGCTGTCATTAACAAGTGCTTCTATTGTGTCTTTCCGCCAGGAAGAAAAAGTCACCTCTTTGTCTGAGGAACGCCAGTTCCTGTGCCTTATCTCTCACCATGTCCAATTAGCTAATTCATTAGTGCGGCATTGCGCTAATCTCAAAGTGCCGCGTTTCCTGAATTTAGGAGGCGATGTCCATTAGTAACTCCAAGAAGAAAGAAGGCGTGCCTATCTGTGTTGTATACGTAAATGGTTTGTCGATTATCTTTCATTTTCACTTGAAAGTCATGAAAGAAGCATCTTCAAGGATCATCATTATTATCATCATGAGCCAGGTATACTTATTGTATTTATACGGACTTTATACGGACTATATTTATACCGTTTTTATACCGTATATTTATACTGTATTCATACGGACTATATTTATATCGTTTTATATACCTCCATCCCAGTGATAATCTATTCCGTGTCTTATCAGAATTTCCATTTGTTAGCGCGCTCTGAATTTGAGTAAATTATAGCGGAGGTTTTTTAATTTTGTGTCTTACAAGAGTGCTTTTTTTTCAGGTGAACCATACGCCTGCCTGGAAATCAACGAAACACGTATTCATGCAAAACTGAGAATAATCAGGCTCGATATATTGTAAGTTTGTTTCTTGTTACATACCAATTTTATTTGAGTGTTATGATATTAAACGCATGTAGGGTTAGTAATTGTTAAGGAAAGGTTATTTATTTGGGAAAAGCCCTTAATTTGTCGGCACGCCATATGCATTTTTAGCACGCCTGTATGCCACTGAAGGGTTATTAGCTTTACGAAAAGGTTATGGATCTTGGCAAGATTTAGTTTTTAGGTTAGTTAAAATGCTAGGGTTATGATTTTTAACCCAGGTTAGTAATTTTGAAGGAAGGGTTATATATTTGGAAAAAGTCCTTTATTTCCAGCACACCATTTTAGCATGCACGCATACCTGTCTGCCAGACCTGTTTGCGCATGTAAGGTTATGAACCAATGTTACTAATTTTACGAAGGGGTTAGGGTTAGGGTTAGGGTTAGGGTTAGGGTTAGGGTTAGGGTTAAAGAACATGTCAGTGTTATTAATGAAAATTTATTTATTTTTAGTCTGGATTTTACAAAAATGGAATCTTTAGCTCACATCAAACGAGACAATCAGACTTATCACTGCTTCATAGACGTGTGCGAAAAGATCTTCACAGACACTCCAAAAAGCACCGTTAGAAACTGGCTAAAGTCCCTAAACATCTCGACAACACCCTGTGCCACTTTGGAAGAGAGAATTCACTTTCGTCGACGGAATGCTTCTTTGGGTGCCACGTTTAGCCTTATTCGAGATGAAGACGTGACCCGTTTGATTGCATATCGCAGTGAAGGTGCGAGGAAGCGAGCCAGACATTCTCACAGTAGTTCTGCCACAATCCTCGACGCTGGTGATGTCCCCAGTCCGAGCCTCGCGACCACAGACAATCCAATTGTCAGACATTCTCACAGTAGTTCTGCCACAATCCTCGACGCTGCTGATGTCAAAAGTCCGAGCCTCGCGACCACAGACAATCCAATTGTGTCTTACAATCTCAGCGGCGAGTCAGACAGCGATGCACAAGAACCGCCTGTAGAAAAGAAATTTAAAGATGAAACGACGTCGCCTAAAAGAAATACGTATAGCATCCCATTAGACAGCGCGCCTGAAAGATTGAAGAATGAGGTAAAAGACTTGCGCCATTTCTACCTAAAAGCATTGAACTATAATCGTCCTGGGCCGGCGTTTTCAAAAACGACCGTCGACAAAATGGTTGAAAGAGCCATGAGCTTTATGTACTTCTGCTTGAACGTGAAAAACATTGCCATGTTAACCTTAGATCTATTTAACAATATCGAACTCTATACTAGTTACGTAGAATATTTAAAAGGGACCCGAAATCTTAACCCTCAACTATAGTTGCGCATCTTATAATCGGTATAAACGTTTTGAAATTTAATTTGGCAAACTTTCAACCGAATTCGCCCGACTCGGAGAATGCATCGCGAACCATTTCAGCTTTACAATCATTTCAGCGACACTTTCAGCACGAAAGCAGCATGATATCCAAACTTCATAAGGAGGGTTTTACGAGCAAGGCAACTCAGCAGTTTTATTTCGCGCACGTTTTAGAAACTCTTCGTAACATACGCGATAAGTATTTGGAAACGCATGGCTTGGAAAAAAGTAGGCACTTGCATGATTTTGTACTCTTGGCAACTTACTTAAGAGCCATTCCTGGCAGGTCGAAAGAATTACGGACCATGAAATTGCATATCGAAGCGGACTGCGGAACTTTCGATTTCACTTCGGTGGATGGCGGTAATTTTATCGTATTTCAAGAGGGCAATAGCGTTGTAATCGTGCAATTTGATTTCAAAACATCAAAAAGTATTGGGCCGACCAGAATCGATGTTTCCGATGACGAAGATCTGGTGTATTACTTGCAATTATATACTAAGGCAAGGCCATCTTTACTGCTCGGCAAGTCGCATGATTCTTCTTTCTCAACAAGCGAGGCGCGCCTTTTGATAGCAGCAGTTCAATTGCGAGGTACATTGGCGATATTTTCATGCGCGAGGTTTCCATTCGAGCGAGCACTAATGCGTTAAGGCATGCTATCATCACATATTTCAGCACTTTGGACGACTCCAAAGATATAAATGTTAGAAAAAGTCTTGCGCTTTTAATGAAGCATTCGGTCCGATATCAGGAAAGCACGTATAACGATTTAACACACCACGAGAAAACGCAAAAAGGCCGAGAAGTTATCAGGAAAATTGCGTCAAATATCTTCGGTGAAGCGGATTTTATTGCATTGCCTGACGAAAGCGATTGCCAAAATGATTCCGGGGACGAATTGTTACCAGCTGTCGGTGACATTGTAGCACTGCTTGATCCAGTTTCCACCAAAAATCACATTTCCTTTTTCATAGCAAAAGTCGCGAGATTCACGCAAAACAAGCAGCAAGCGCATTTAATTAGCATGGAGCTTTTGCCGGATTCCACAAATTTGTATAGACTGAAACCAGGCAGAACTTGGAAAGAGTCGGTTAAGGCGTTGGTTTTTCCTATAGACATCGTTTATAATGCGACAAGCAAAGCATACGAATTGCGCACGCTCTCTGATGATATATTCGACATTGTTCATGGTACGTCGAAAAAGTAAAATCCAGAATATATCGAGCATGAAAAAGTCAAAATTTACTAGAGGGTTCTGTTATAATTAATAATCTTGTTCTGTTATAATCATCAGTATTCACTTGTTCAGATTTTGTTGGGATTTTAAATAAATATATGTATTCAAAATCTACACGTTGTGTCAAATTTGAGTTCTCTCACTGAGCATACCCCATTTATCAAATTACCCATCAAAGTTTGCATGAGGAATATTTTTTGTCCTGATTTTACATTCACTTTTATACCTACCTGCATAATTGATACCTAATAAACCTTTTCAGTAATCTATGTGGAAAGATGCGAAACATCCGTCTGCTATATGGGACGCCTTGAGCCTCGTTCTCGTGTTATAGCTTATTTCCAGAATTTATTGGTCAAACTAAAAATCTTTTTCATGCATGCGTTGAAAAAGGATGTTTTGCACCTTGCTCGTGAGGGTAAAACTTAAAATACATTCCATTTAAGGTGGTTCTAAATTTAAAGCTTTGTGTCGTCAAATTGTTGTGACGTATTACCGAAAAGTTCTATTCTATCACTCCATCTTTACGATATAGATCAGATAGCTGAGCCCGATATCATGCATTGCGGACAGCGGCTTAGATACGCGCATGCGGGCATTAACGCAAAACACGAGTTTCATTGATGAAAATATAAAATATGGACAATTTTTTGCAAATATATGCTTTATAACTTCTTTAAATCTCGAATATGGATGTTTATATGAACTTTGAAGGCTGAAGTATTGTTTAAAATCATCGATTCGTCATGTTCACTCCAAAGAATGGCTCGGACGAAGGTTTGCCCTGCTCTCAATAATTACAATAAACCACTTGAAAGCACTTACAAACCTATCAAAGCAATTGTCACGTAAGTTTTTTTTATAATTTTAATACTCGTACTTGCAAAAGAGTCTAAATAGGCAAGTTTGTCTTCGGCAGGCGTGCTATCACTGGTTTAAGATACTATTTTTTAAGATACTTCCTATTATGAATAAATGGGTATTTTTATTAATAATTGAATGGGATTTTTTCAGCTTCCATTATTATGATTATCATTATTATTTTATATTGTTGATAAATCTTTATCAAAGTGTCTAGAGAAAGACAGTTCTTTGATCTAATTATAATCAGTATAACTTATTAAATGCCTGAAGTTCTTCTGCATGACATATGCAACTCAATATATCACATGTATGTACACTACTAGCTATATAGATAATCTTTGTATGATTATGATTAACAATATATAGTATGTGCTTAATGCAATGTATTCAATCGAATTCCACGATGAAAACGTGTGCTAGGAAACTGCAGATATGTGACATTCATTGATCGTATTATAATATTTTTGTATAAGTGGATATTTTTTATAATTGAATGGCATTTTTTCAGCTTCCATTATTATGATTATCATTATTATTTATATTGTTGATAAATCTTTATCAAAGTGTCTAGAGAAAGACAGTTCTTTGATCTAATTATAATCAGTATAACTTATTAAATGCCTGAAGTTCTTCTGCATGGCATATGCAACTCAATATATCACATGTATGTACACTACTAGCTATATAGATAATCTTTGTATGATTATGATTAACAATATATAGTATGTGCTTAATGCAATGTATTCAATCGAATTCCGCGATGAAAACGTGTGCTAGGAAACTGCAGATATGTGACATTCATTGATCGTATTATAATATTTTTGTATAAGTGGATATTTTTATTATAATTGAATGGCATTTTTTCAGCTTCCATTATTATGATTATCATTATTATTTTATATTGTTGATAAATCTTTATCAAAGTGTCTAGAGAAAGACAGTTCTTTGATCTAATTATAATCAGTATAACTTATTAAATGCCTGAAGTTCTTCTGCATGGCATATGCAACTCAATATATCACATGTATGTACACTACTAGCTATATAGATAATCTTTGTATGATTATGATTAACAATATATAGTATGTGCTTAATGCAATGTATTCAATCGAATTCCGCGATGAAAACGTGTGCTAGGAAACTGCAGATATGTGACATTCATTGATCGTATTATAATATTTTTGTATAAGTGGATATTTTATTATAATTGAATTATTTTATTTGTTGATAAATCTTTATCAAAGTGTCTAGAGAAAGACAGTTCTTTGATCTAATTATAATCAGTATAATTTATTAAATGCCTAAAGTTCTTCTGCATGACATATGCAACTCAATATATCACATGTATGTACACTACTAGCTATATAGATAATCTTTTTATGATTATGATTAACAATATATAGTATGTGCTTAATGCAATGTATTCAATCGAATTCCACGATGAAAACGTGTGCTAGGAAACTGCAGATATGTGACATTCATTGATCGTATTATAATATTTTTGTGTAAGTGGATATTTTTATTATAATTGAATGGGATTTTTTCAGCTTCCATTATTATGATTATCATTATTATTTTATATTGTTGATAAATCTTTATCAAAGTGTCTAGAGAAAGACAGTTCTTTGATCTAATTATAATCAGTATAACTTATTAAATGCCTGAAGTTCTTCTGCATGACATATGCAACTCAATATATCACATGTATGTACACTACTAGCTATATAGATAATCTTTGTATGATTATGATTAACAATATATAGTATGTGCTTAATGCAATGTATTCAATGGAATTCCGCGATGAAAACGTGTGCTAGGAAACTGCAGATATGTGACATTCATTGATCGTATTATAATATTTTTGTATAAGTGGATATTTTTATTATAATTGAATTATTTTATATTGTTGATAAATCTTTATCAAAGTGTCTAGAGAAAGACAGTTCTTTGATCTAATTATAATCAGTATAACTTATTAAATGCCTGAAGTTCTTCTGCATGACATATGCAACTCAATATATCACATGAATGTACACTACTAGCTATATAGATAATCTTTGTATGATTATGATTAACAATATATAGTATGTGCTTAATGCAATGTATTCAATCGAATTCCACGATGAAAACGTGTGCTAGGAAACTGCAGATATGTGACATTCATTGATCGTATTATAATATTTTTGTGTAAGTGGATATTTTTATTATAATTGAATTATTTTATGTTGTTGATAAATCTTTATCAAAGTGTCTAGAGAAAGACAGTTCTTTGATCTAATTATAATCAGTATAACTTATTAAATGCCTGAAGTTCTTCTGCATGACATCTGCAGAGCAATGGGTATAATTTTTCCTGGAGTCAAATATGTTGATGCATTAGAAAAAGCCAATATTCCAACCTTATTTGAAAGACGGCAATCTCTATGTACGAAGTTTTTTGATGAAATCGTGGATAACAAGGACCATAAACTCACCAATTTATTACCGGAAAGAACCGACGGTATTAATAATCAGTTAAGGACAAAGAGAACATTTCAAACGATCAAATGTTATACAAATCGTTTTAAAAACTCTTTTATGCCAAATTATTCAAATAGACACACTTCTTAAATGTAAATGTAATCTTGTAGCATGTGATGTCATATAGCTTGTTTAGGTTATGAATTCTAATTTTTAATGCTTGTAGTTGTAAATATATTAATAACTTTTAAAATATACATATTTTTACCATTCATATTGATGTATTATACATTTAATTCAGTCATAATGACTGCGAGATGTATATTTATTAAACGATTTGATTGATTGATTGATATGGGCATGACATACATAGCAGATATATCGATTTAATAAACCTTTCAACAGTTCAATTTGGAATGGACTGTGCAGTATGATATAATTCTGCCTTTGAATGGGGTTGGGAAATTTTTGGTCCGAGGTGAATTTCTATTAATCGATAGTCGTTGGGAAATTAATAGCAAGCGTTTTTTTTCCAGACTTGATCCATAGCCAGTGATGGACAACTAGAGAGGAGAAAGAGTCAGGATTCTAATAAATCGGGTAAGCTTTAAGCTTATCATTAATAATGCACGCATGTTTCATTCCTGATACACACTGTATATACAAGTAGTGACAAAAGGGTTATTAATATCTAGCTTTGGCCAGAAAAAAACTTTATTTCCTGACATATGTACATTTTCAATACAGAAGCAACAAAATAAATAAATAGCCTAAATTTTCAGTGAAATGTCCGGCTTAAATGTTCAACTATTATGTTCAAATTGGTTGCATGTTCTTTTCAGTTCACATAAACGCCCATTTAGTTCTTTGCTCGGTCGACCAGTTGCATTCTGGGGACTCGAAAAGCCACGCAACGATTTCTCTCAGGCTTTCTGGTAGCACTTCATCATCACGGCGTTGTCTTAACAACGGGATCCAGTAGGAGCGAAGCCCACCGTAGTTCACCAGTATCTCCGTCGGACGTTTCGAGGGCTCCAAGCGCCGTTTCGTTCGTAGAACTAACTGTTCCCCGGTCGTGTCGAAGCGAGCGTTGCACTGTTCGTCTATTCGACTTTCGGTTTTCGCCCAATCCTCTTCCGTCAGAGGGGGCCTTTCCGCTGACGAAAGAGTTCGTATGTGCTTGAATGCTTCGAGCACCCACGGCTGATTTGCAAATCGTCCCAAATTATTGGCCGTTTCCACCTCCGCGTCGAACCATCGTTTTTTTCTGTGCACGAATATCGCGTAGGAACGAGAGCTGCTGTTTTTGTTCATTTCTTCCTCGGTGGTGCTTCGTTCGGCGTAAAGGCAGATATGCGCCCCGCTCTCGATGGGGAACTTGTGTCGTGCTAGGAACAGGCCGTGACCCGAGTTCGGAATTTCGCTTTTCGCGACGAAACATCGGCTTTCCGAAAACGTGCTACATGATACGATTCGAAAAAAAAAGTTGTCCGAATCTTGGCTCTCGGGCCACGATTCACCATCGTCTGCGAGAACTTGCCGCGATCCAGCGCCACTGCAGGCCCATACCTGTGTAAAATAATAATGTCGAAATTATTAGTTGTCATTGTTACTTGTCATGGTCGTTATTATTATTTCATATATTATACCGTAGGATCCTCGGGGCGGTTCAATATCGGACGATATTCTTCGTACGCGTTCACGCCGTGTTGTCCCCACATCTTTCGTATGTCCCACGGCAGGTTCGGGTAGGTGAAGACTTCTTCCGG